GGATGGATGGATGGATGGATGGATGGATGGATGGATGGATGGATGGATGGATGGATGGATGGATGGATGGATGGATGGATGGGAGTCGGAATACACAAGCCTACTTTCTTTGACCACCGTCTCCTTCAACACAAATGCCTTAGAATACGCGAACAGAATTTGTTACCTCCCTAAAACTAATCCTGACACCACTTTTGCCTCACAATCACACCCACACTGAGAAGTACAGCGACCAACTGACGCCGTTGGCCGGGATTCCGCTCCCATTGGCTTAGACCCATGTATGCACAGTTCACACTGGTTCGCCGTGAAGGTGTCAATCAGGCCCACTTTTTAGTTTATTTATGCAGTCAAAAATGGGACCAGGGGGTGGATCTGCAAGCATTTATGTGCACGAACGTGTGTTTTCACGCATTCACTCTCGGCAGCACCACCAATTACTTCGCTAAGACTGACGTCGGTGCTACCTACATGTCGGTCAATCATCCACTTCTACCTTCTGTGCTGTTAATTTGCAAATTAAATCTCCAAATTGTGCACGTAGGAGCCCTTCATTAAATGCTTAAGCCATTCAAATACACTGCTTTTTTCACAAATAAGCGGCAAAGCCCCACACTAAGTCGCTACTGCTACTTCTTTATCTTCAGCAGGCAACGTGTGAGGTCTTTTGATGGGCGTTTAATCCACATTCTCGTTACACAAATTCCTGTTATCAAAAAATGCAGGAAAATTCAGATTCTTTTAGTAAGTGCATGACATTTTGGGCCTAATTAATGAGAATTTCCTCGTATATCTTAACACCTGCCTTCAGCTTTTACCCAAAAATGTCAGACAGCTGTCAAGCTCTGAACTAAGAGAGCGGTACTGACCTTCCTACTTCTTATACAACCGCCTGAGAGGAGGAGGAGGAGATTGCCGAAAGCCTTTATGATCGTGTAGAGCCCTGTCCTCCTTGATTCAAGCTGTTCTAAAAGTGCCACTCCAGAACCGTCGGCGAGAGAGTGAGGGAGCGATTTAACCACACCCCTTTCAACAATACGCCAGAGTTCTGTTCGACATTAACAAAGACCAGCTGGATTACTAATTTTGAAAGAAAGTATTCAGTACATAATTGGACCTCACGAATTTCAATTGGATCGAGGTAGCAGAAATCCGAGATTGTCTAATTTGACGGAGGGAAAAAGTAGAGAGCATCCATCTTAGCTAGAAGACGGTGTCCACTTCGAGGATTCCCTCAAGTAAATGCTGTAAGGGACTCTCGCCACTTCTTTATCATGCAACAGACCTTTATATGCCCGACCAAAAAAAGGTCTCTTTCTAGTCATAAAAACACCTGCATAGGCAAGCTTCGTTCCCTTAATGTCTCTATCCCCCCAAAGTGCATCCACATATACGCAGACGTCTCTTTTGTCCCGTTCACGACTTGAAAAAGCTCCGAGACACGTCTACCAAAACACCACACTCGGGGCTGAGTCATAGAGAAGAGAGGAGAATAGGAAGGGCGGAAGGGTGGAACAGGGAGTACATGCATCCCTCGCCCCTCCCTATACGTGAAACATGAGGTTGTCCCTAATTGGAATGGAATACCAGATTCGCCCTGCGCCAATTAACCGCGTATTTCCGTTGTTTACTAAACAGAGTTTTTTCCTCTGGCTTTTGCCAAGGCCAAATAATGTTGGCAATGAATTTCGGGGGATAGGTCTGTCCATTGAATGGACGCTTATGCAGTCCTATATTATTGTAGGATCGGTGTCACGGGCTATATTTGGCTTGAATGTCCACCATCACCACTACCATCACTAAAAAAACTCGTATATTTCATTTTCAATCAAAAACAGCCTCTACATCCACCTTACTGTTGTAGACTTGAATGACACGTGCCACATATGTGTGACTCGAAGACTGGCATAAAAAATCAAGCCACTATTTATAGCCAGTAATGGAAAAAAGGGTGGAGAAAACACCGGTCTAAAAATTACCGCAACAAATAACGGCAGGACCACTTAGGCACCCTCTGAGTTCATCAGACGAGGTAATAAGTCGACTACGGGTGAATGAATGTCTGTCAACTAACCAGTCTCCAAGTTTTTGACGTGCCGACTTTAAACCTGAACGCTTTTAACTGAGAAATTCTGAGTAGTATGTGACAGCGAATGTCACTGATAAAATATCATGATTATTTATCGACGGAGGAAGAGCATTGACTCACCTGTCGACTGACGAGAACGCCTACCGTCAAAAGACCGGGTGTCAACCACGCGACGACGTGTTCTTTGGCCAGACAATTATTTTCGGCACTTGAGCTGTTCACCCCCCGTCTATTCAGCTGGGCAAAACGTAGAGATGGTCCTATCCTTTGTTGTTTATCTGGGAAGTTGTCACCCTCTCCTATGGCAGCCCCATGTCTGATGACCCCTTCGCGATGCCAACCGCAGCAGCCGTATTTTAACAGGGTTCCCTCATCCCTCCTTCCGCGAGCCAATCGCAGATGATGAGTTGACCTTGATGCCCAGCCAATCACCATCATGGTCCACCAAAGCGTTCCAGCGGTGAAGAAGTAGTACTGGATGAGGAAGACTAGAGCACAATTTGAGTTGTCTAGACCCTCTTGTAGACGGATTGCAAATCCTGAAGCCGGATCTTTGCCACATGTCACAGCTTTGCGTCCCAATTTGAGTCTCAGTGCAAAGCCCAGAGCGTAGGCTAATTGGCATCCTGCGATGTAGATGATTGGACGCTCCAAAGTATGGAATAGGGAAGGTTGAATAGCAAAACTCAGGAGGGTCCCAGTGGTCGCAAGTAGACAGAGGCCAGAAATCACACTGGTCCACACTGTGGATAAAGTTTTTGCACTGGGAGAGAAGAGTATATCCGCAGTGCAGTGTGGAGCGCATCTTCCAGTCCGATTAATAAATATGTAGGAGGTAGGTTTTGACAGGTGCGAGCAGTATCGAAGAGAGGAAATAAGAAGGGAGATTGGAGTCTCCTCATTCTCGAATTCAATTGGAAGTGGACTGTCATGGAGACGGGCCAACCAATTCTGGAGATGTGATCCCAGTCTGGTGATTCCGCCGCTTCCTCTTCCTCCGCCTCCTCCACTTCCAAGAGCATTCATGGTGTCTGGAATTTCTTCCAGCTGACGAAACAGACCTTCTGTTGATTGCTCAACCCTCTTTCCGGCTGCTTCTTGTCCCATGGAGGATAGCCTAACTTCTTCAATGATATCTCGTGATACTGTTCCGTCTTTTCCAACATTCGACTCCTCAGTTCCACTGGAAGATGGTTCTTCAAAGTCCTCTGGAATATCTGGACCCTTCATACACATCACCCCACCAACAGTATTCTTTTCTGGAAACCGAGAACAATTCAAATTTGCTGGCCAATCGAAGTTGAAGATCTTCAATACTGGGGAACACCGTTTTCGAACTCTTTCACAAAGTGGCCGACAGGGTCCGATCAGGTGGTTAGTATTCACATCACACATCGGAGCATAGACAGAACAGAGAAAGAAAGCTAAGTGATTTGAACACTTATAGGTGATTAGAGGCTTAAAAGTTTGCAACTGATGACGTGCATCTAGTTGAGTTTCCTGACCCACTAGATTGGGAAAGGCGGTAAAGTTATAGAAGAGGTTTTTGCACTCCGGTATTTCTATCCGTGTCGGCCGAAAACACCGTTGCTGACCGACAGGACCGTAAGTGTCTGACGAGGTATAGAGATTGGCGTTCTGACCTCGAGCGATATTAAGAGAGGCAAGAAGCAGGAGTAGGAGGCCATGAACACTTGTAGAGGACATTCTTTTTGCAGCTGACAGTCAGCATGGAGACATCATTCTTGCAACTGCGCCCTATCACGAATGCGCCAACCCTCGGAGTCCAGTTGCGCTGAGAAGGGAGGCTATTGGCTAGCAAAACTGACCAATCGGAATTGGACCAATCAGGTTTTGCATTAACACCAGACCAGCCTCTGGCGTACCCGTGGGTTCTGATGTTCAGGTGACCAGTAGATGCCACTAAATTAATAGAAAGACATTATTCAGGCATTTTGTTTTTCCCCCTTTTGGCTCAAAATTGCTCTTTTATATGTCATGTTAGCAAGGGATGAAGCTGCGGGGGTATTTTTAGGCCGCCCATTTATACCGCTGCTGGTCGCGTAGATTTACTATTCGCAGACTAGCAGTACATAACCTATGAGAAGAGAGGACAAAAACGTTGAATTTCCTGTGTTTGAAAAAGAATTAAGCAGATTTCGCATTTTAAAAATATGTATAACGGAAAGCTGGGGTAATGATTTTAGGTGTACCTCGCATCTTTCAAATGGAAGAATGAGGCGAGAAAGCCTGAATTCCAGCCACAGTTGAAGATGTAATTTTGGGATGGCCCACTCGGGCCGGTCCTTTTGCTTGTCGTACCACAAAAATCGTACGACATTTCACTGGCATCTTTGCCAAAGGAGAAAATGACAACAAAGGCAAGTGAAGTTTCTTTAATTCCCGAAGCTTCCAGCCTGCCCTAATCACTACTGAAGGAAGATTTATTATTATGAACGTACAAAAGGGAGGGTGGGAGGCGAGTGGAGAAGGGGTTGGGCCGTAGGCATGTCGACGGGACCGAAGTTAGAACTACAGGGACTAAAAGAACACTGCTACCATTAAAAAAGGGGCACTTGGCAACAAATTCTTTCGACAAAATACATCCATTTACCTTAAAAGGTGGCTAAAGGGTTGATAAAGGCTTTGTGGGATGTGAGTGCTGACGAGGTGAATGGACCTGTCAATCGCCGAGTTGATATGCTGATTTGTATCCACTGCCTCATTGTGTGCGTGATAGCTGTGCTCCTGTCATGAGAGTGACTGAGGCGAGTTTGCTTGACACTTCCTTGTAACTAGTCAATCATGTCTTGTCATATCGCCTTGTTTCGTAAAGGCTGTTGGTGGGAGGCCGCTCAATTCTTAGGGCTTACCTCGTAAACAACCGTCATCTACGATGCACGGGTGAATGAAACCCCTGTAAAAAATCTTTTTGGAGGAGTTGCTCCAGCAAAGCATTTCTTTTGCTTTAAAGGTATAATTTAAAGAGGTCTTCAGTGGTTAAGAGGGGATGGGAATCTAATCCACTGAATAGGTAATAAAAGACTTTTTGATGACAGAATTCTGATTTCCATGGCTTTCCACCAATCTGCCTGATATTTTGAAGAAAAACCTTCGCGATTTTTTTTTCTGCAAAACGTGATAAACTATCTTTAATGCTTCTGGTGGAAGTTCTAGGAGCGTCGATTTGACTGGTGCGTAGTTGGCGGAGGTGGCCACTGCGTCAGTAACGCAGTTGAATTTGCACTTCAACTGAGGTGAAGTACGACTGGCGAGAGGTGATTTCCGCCAGGTAAACTTGGATGCAGCGCAGCCAAAAAAGGTCCGGAGTGCTCAAAGGTCTTTGAGTCGGCAGACGGGAGGAAAAAGAGCAAACAGGAGGGCAGACAGGGGGCGAGAGAGGTGGTAGTAGTCGAGTAGATAGATGGGTGTTAGTCACTCCGACGTTTAGCTGAAATGGGTCGAAAACAGACTCGGGGCGGAAAGGAGGGAGCTGCATTTCGCTAAATAATTTGGCCATTTCTAGGCGATGCAAAACACCGGTCCCTATGCCGTGTCCGTTATGGGTCCACTAACAGGTCAATTGTAACTTAGAAATTAAAAAGCTTAAATATATGCAGAATCGGGTTACCAGCTGTGGTGTTATGGTTGCTCAGGTCAAATCGGGACTTCCGACGTTGGCCACTTGATGCCAAAAAGGGCCACCAGAACGATAGGGGTCAACTGGCAGGTCATATCACACGCTTAAACAGGCTTCAAGTTAGTTAAGACACCTTCATGAAGTTAACAGGCAGCAGCGAATGGGAGGGGTTGTGGGCACTGACGTACCACCCGTGCCTCTATTTCCTTGGAAGGCTGCAATTAAGGTGCAGACGTTCAGTTGCTCAAAAGCGAGAGTTCCTAACGATGATACAACTACTCAGTTGTGGTGATTTCACTCGCAGTTCATAGCGCAGCAGTCATTCTCATAAATGTTTAATCAGTGCAGGCACCCCCTACTCTGGGCGACAAATTCATCGTCTTTGCCGTGAGCAAGAAATTGCTGCAACGAAAAATCTTCCTGCTTAATACAGTGAATCAAATTAACCACTAAAAATTTAGTACAGGCTCTTGAAAGGCTGTTGTGGAGTAGTTCAGATGCATTGAGCCTTTCGGTCTCTTTTAAAGCCCAATGGCTCGCCGTCAATACTGTGGGCGATGCGTACCACCTTCAATAGGGCCCCCCTCCCCCTACAGCATTCGAGTCAGAAGACAGAAATTAAGGGCAAAACGACTAACCCTCCCCCAAAGTTGAAGCCTGAGATGAGGAAGGCTACTGGTAAAACATATCAGTAACTTTCGCGATGCGATTCGCAACAGAAACATCAACGATGCCCAGTTGCAGACTGCTACGCAATTCCCTAGAAATTTCTTGTATCTTTTTAAGAGGAAAAACACTCAAGAAACTTTAAGGCAATTTCACCCATTCGTGAAAGAAAAAAATGCCAAGCACAAATTCTCAGAATCGCAAAAGTCATTTTTCTTCTTGTGCCCAAGTCAAAGTCAAAGCCCGACTTAAAAGTAACCCGTTTCAATTACCTACTCATCGTATGTACTAAATAAAAGTAATTAAAAATCTCCTAAAATAAACCATTTACTACCACTCCTTTTTTTCTACGTAATAAGTGAAGGGAAATCCGGATTCGCCCCCTCCTCTGAATCCGTTCTAATTAACACATTGGAAAAGTCGGCAGTCGGAAGTAAAGGTAAATTAAGCATTAAAATATAAAAAGGGAATAAAGCCATTAATAAATGTGTGCCCCGATCCCATTTAGGTGGATCCTAAAGTCTAATTCCCTAATTCAGCTGCCAAGATGAGTCCACGCAAGAATAAAAATGTGTAGTTTGGAAAGGAAATAAATTAGTATGAATAAGTAGTATATTTAAAAACGATCACTTTTCTTTTTTGGAAAAAAAAAGCCATAAATCTTTATTACTACATTCTCATAAAGTCAAAAGGATAGGATTTTTAAACTTTATCCAGAGAGAAATCACTGGCAAGCTCAATTAACAGACAAGGGTGACATCTCAAGCCTTCTCCGAAGGAGGCTATGACAAGTGTCAACACAGAACATTTCTGTTGTTAGTGCTTAGAGGAACTGGGAAGCCGCAGCTATGGATGGGAAACACTGTCAGCGGGATTGAGAGCTCGCGAAATTAGACATTTGATCAATGCGTGAATCACTTCGTTGAGTGTCCTCCCCTTAGCTTGTGGACGTTGATGATACTCGAGGTAGGCACGACAGGCGTTGATTTCAACTTGCGTGTTCCCTCATTTTGATAGTGCTGTATCCACTTTGAAAGTGGAATTGGTACTACTGAACGTACCCGAAACTTCTTTTACTTCGAAAGCCGGTCGCTGATCCGAACATAAAAGTCGAACCATTCCGAATGTGGAACAACTTCGCATTGTATGTTGTTCTATCGCTATTCCTCCTTGACACTTTGTTCTCACTCCCCTGTCGTTCGCTTGCAATCTGTCATTTTGTTTATTCACGCGTCACGTGATTTGCCCAAACAGTGTGACAGATGCTTTGTGAAGACTTTGAACTCGTCCAGGTCTAATATCCCTTCAGGTGTGGATTCCCCTCCTGTAGAACGCGATATCGGGATGAGTGTCAAAAGTGGACGGGACGTTGGTAAGTCTTCACATATTCAGCAATCCACGATCTGCAGAAATTCCTCGGTGGTGTTTGAGAACTGCGGACCAGATGTCCTGGCTACAGCCATTGATGTGGCAGCTTCAGTCTCGCCTCAAGTGATATTAAATCACGCCAGGATGAAGGAGGGAGCAATACCAGTGCAGAGGATATTAAAAAGTCTTGCAGTCCATATTGACTGAAAATTTCCAGCCCTGAGGTCTTCTTGGAAGTGTCAAGGACTTACCAACCTGCGGAGACCAAACAACTCCTTGTGATCACTCTTTTACCTCCATCATACAGACTCATTCTACAATATTCTAATGACCAGGCCAGACGATTGAAAAAGAGTCGTTGAAGTCGCATTGCTCGGAGAATGCTATCTGGTTGTGATGGTAGAAAATAGATTCCTGGCCAAGATTTCGTCTGGGAGATATCTTTAAATCCAGATAAAACATTCCAACCTTGAAGACCTAGGCGTGTCTTTTCGGATTTCTGGCCATATTTAGCAATCGCCCCTCTCACACATCCTCCTCGTTCACCAACATGACATGGAGACGCATTAGAGGTCCACTGTCACTCATATTGCCTTAAAAAGGCAGAATGAGACCAACTTCAACACCCAACAACCCAGACAATGGATTAGCAAGCGGCTTTTTGTTTTGATTGTCTTTCCTAATACCGACTAGTCGAATCTCGGACGTCTCTGCGGCCACAAATAACCAGCAGTGAATAAATGAATAAATGCTTCAGTGTCTCTGACGAAGAAGTGTTTTGAGACAATAATCCAGAGGACTTGACGATATTTTTTAATCACCAAAATTCCATTTCGGCCAACTTTCCTGATATCGTCTGGATGAATGCGAATATCCTCTTGTCAATCAGCGATTCGGCAAATTTATCAGCTAGTGTTGCATAGAACCCATAAGTGAGAGTTTGTCCTCGGATTGTTGTCTGCGGAGAGTCTTCTCGGGATCACCCATTCATAACCAGCTGCTTGCCTCTTCACCATACATCTATCCACCCCGC